CGATCCTCCACTCGCAGCGACACGTTTTTTGGTTCGAGGGGACGAGCTTCTGGGCGCGTCCACCCTCCGGAGCACATGGACCACAAAATGTCACGCCGGAACATGTACAAACTCGCACATGTGTTGATGCAGGCCAAAAAGAGACATAAAACAAGTAGGGCACCCGGTGAAGCGTTTTCACGAAATACACTATCACAGAACACGCCAAAGGAGAAGGGCGTGGGGTTGGAAATGTCCTGTATCATTCTCATTCATATGCTTTTCTGACCATAGTATCCCCACGCAGCCTGGTGGGAACAGAGGCCGAGGATTTCACTAGACAGGCGGGCAGCCATTACACCGAGCGCGATGGGTTCTTCTCACCCGCCCCTGACACCGAAAAGCCTCCGAAGCCCTCGTCCGACGGGGCTGTCAGTGTGTAGCTCCCGTCGGCATCGATGGCTCCTAGGGTGTACGAGGCTTCGGGGAAGGTCTCCCCGCCGAACACGACGTAGGCCGAGCCGGCATCGCTGCCGACTCCGGGGGCGCCAATCACGATGTCGTCGTAGCCGTCCTGGTTGATGTCCTGGTTGGAAAGGGTTGGTTGATTTCGAACCCAGAGGGGAAAGTCGAACGGGGGAATTCAAACGGTGGGGCGTGAAGGTTGTACCAGGGTCGAAGAAGAACTTCAAGGCAAACCTGTTATCAGCTTAGAAAAAAGGAGGCTCGGGTGCTACTCGTTTTTAGCTGCGCTTCGCGCTGGAACTGCCCCCTGTTTACTTCGGCTCCTTGCTTTTACTAAATATCGCTCAATGTCTCTCGTTAGTTCACTGTAGTCGACCAGCCCGCACTATTTATCGCCTTCCTCTCACCCCGGCGCTGGAGACCGACGTGCCGCTGCGGTCGCCCTGAGAAGCCCCTTCGAGCACGAAACCGTTGCTGCCGTTCAGATCCGTCAGCACGTTGACAGGGTTGGAGATGGCGCCTCCGCCGAAGATGATGTAGGTCGCCCCGGCCGAGCTGCCGCCGCCGCTCGCCGGGTCGGCGAGGGCGTGCCCGATGGCGATGTCCATGTACAAGTCGTTGTTCATGTCCTGCATTTGTGTTTACAGGGATATTCGTGTGCCAACGTTTCGATGATCAGGTTGTCCTCCCGAACTTCGTCCATGGCAAAAAGGGATGTGATTTGTAGCAAGACGGTTGTGTTTTGTGGTACGTTGATTCCAGAGTCTCCATGTGATGTGCTCGTCGAAATGTCTTTTACCTCCGATCCGTGCACAACCGAAAACAGGCGCTCAAGCGCTCCTGTTTGCGCCACCACACCGGCACAATGCTTTTCCCGCTCCCCCTGTCCCACCTCTCTCTCTTCCTCTTCTTATTCTCTTCTCAAGGATTGCCAGTCCTCTGTCTTCCTGTACTCCAACAATATTGGTTCGGTATTTACTGATTATTGCGCGATCGTGGGTCTTACTCTCTCTTTCTCTCTCTCTCTCTCTCTCTCTCTCTCTCTCTCTCTCTCTCTCTCTCTCTCT